GCTACACAGGCGATCCTGGCAGAGACGAGGGAGGGCTCTCAAGGTGAAGAAACAGCAGTGCCCTGTGTGACCAAACTTGGAGTCACCCTCCCACCCAATTCTGCTTTAGTCGCTGCTGCTTTTCTTAGCAGACTACAAAACCTGTATGTCCCCAAGTCCCTTCACTCCTACTCTTGAGATACAAACTGCTTGAGTCTACTCTGCAATGGCTTGAGACTGGGGGGTGGGGGTGATCGAGGAAAATATAGGCTAAATTCAAATGGTGCCTGTAACTGCATTTCCCAAGGGAACCCTCAGCTGTCAACATCTAAAGATGTGCACAGGATTCTGCCTGTGCACAAGCTATCTCAGTCAAGGGACATAGCTCCAGGAGCCTCTGTCAAGCAGCAGGCATGCTGGCCCCACAAACTCTGGGACTTCCTACCTACCTCCGGACAAAAGCATCACACCCAAACCACAGCTCCCTTCTCATCCTTTGAGGGATTTTAGTCTCAGGGTCTCTACTCTTGGGAGCCAAGCATGGCCTTTATGTGGTAGGAAGGGTGACAGCCCTAAGCCACCAGGGCTCATCAACAAGGTCCTCCCTGTGCCTCTCTTGTAACAGTAAAGCTGCAGGAGTAAGCAGAGAGAGTGACTAAAATCCCCTGTGAACTGCTTCTCCGGAGAAGATCAGCAAGGCACGGTTCAGATCAGGTTCTCCTCTGCATTTTCTGAACAGGAGCTGAGCTAAGCAAACTCAGTCTAACCGGTCAGGGGCCCTGAAAGGACTGTCCCCCTAAACAGAAGTGGGGAGGGGCTCCCAGAATGATGCAAACGGTTTGTGGAAAGGACACTTTGGACCAGCATCCCTCAATTCCTAAGACTGACCAACTGCCCTCAAAAAAAAAAAAAGTTATTTTTTTTTCCTTGTAGGAAAAGTTGTCGAATGGACGAAACCCCAGGAGGGGGAGCCTATGGATGAACTCGGGGGCTTAAAACTGGATGGCTGGGGAAAGAAACCAAGCCTGGGTTCAAAGCTGCCCCTGCTAACAGCGGGGGGGGGCACTTTCCAAAATATGGTCTTTCCAAGGTAGCTGGAGATTTGTTTTCCCACTCTACACTTAAATAGTCCCCTGCACAGAAGAGTGTGCTGTAACTTGGGCTAAACTCTGAAAGCCCCCCCCCACGCACCAAGTGGGAGCTACATCAACAAATCCCAAGCAACAGATGCCAAGCCCCAAAGGCTGCCTGGTGGATAGGTCCACCAGCTATCCTTAGGGATAAAGTCGGGGCTGGTTCATCTAGGGCTCTTCTCATCCGCCCCCCACCCTGCCATTGCTTGAGGGGATAAACACCAAGCAGATGCCTGGGGCGGGGGTTGGGTGTCCTTTTAAGTCCTCTCGTCCAAAGAAGCTCCTCACCTAAGCACTGGATTAGTTGAGGCTGAGTATGCCCACGTGTCTCTCTGAGCAAGAACCCAATATTCCAAATGCACTCAATCCTAGAACCTCATATCCCACTCACCCAAACCAGGACACTTGCAGAGCTCTGACCCCCACATCTCTCTCAAACTAAAGTGCGTGTTTTCTCGATTGCTTCTTAACTACTCATGAAGCGTCCCTGTGCATATATACAGACCCTCCCCAAGGCCCTGAGGTAATAAATGTGCATTCACCCTCTTTCCTAGACATGAGTACCCCCAGAGCATCGCTGCTTGCCCGAATATCCTGCAACTGACTTACAAAATCTTTGCTGGGGACAGGTGGACAGCTGCTCCATACCGGCTTGCGCCCCAGCGTCCCTGGCCCGCACCCCCACACCTCGGCTGGATCCTTACCTGCACTGGGGCCTCGTGGCACTGGAAGCGGGGCTCCTGCTCGACTCTGTAAGCTGTGCAGCACCGGCGTTTCGAAGGGTCCGGCTGGCCAGGCGGGAGTCAGCGGAGCCCCCATGTAGGGCGAGTAAGTCGGATGATGGTGATGATGGTGATGGTACGTCCCGTTCAGTGGCCGAGCCGCGGATAACGAGCTGTACTGGTGCTCCCTGCCGCCCATGGCCGCCAGGCTGCCGCCGCCGCCACTCACGCTGCCCGCGCCGGCGCTGCCCGCAGCCACGTAACCCCCGGGGTCCCGCGCGCCGCCGTTGGCCATGGGCGGGCTGGGCGAGTAGGGGAAGCGCGCCGAGGCGTGCGCCGTGGCCGATCCCGCACCTCCTGGCCCCGCTGCCCCGCCGCCCGCTGCGCCGCCCCCGCCGTACGGGGGACTATCGGCGGAGGCCTGGGGCCAGCCCGGGTGAGCTCCGGCGCCGCCCGCGTGGTTGCTGGGCCCGCTGCTCGGCCCCTGCAGGTACGGCAGACCGGGCAACATGGAACCCACGCGCGTGGTGGGGACGTAGACCGGAGAGCTGGCCGCTGCCGCCGCCGCCGCGGCCGCCGCAGCCGCAGAGTGCACGAATCCGCCGGGCGCGCCGTCGTAAGCGGCTGGCCCCTGGCTGGACAGGGCGGCGAGGGTCTGGTACATTTCCTCGGGCTGGTCGGGCGCGAAGGGGCTCAGCTTAGCGCCCCGGCTGGGCCACAGCAGCTTGCTGGCGGTCGCGGCCTGGTCGAGGTCAGTGAAGAGCAATAAGTCCTCCCAACTAGGCAGGGCGCTCCCGGGGCCAGGGACCCCGGGCGCCGAAGGTCCGTGGGCAGCGGCGAAGGGATGTGAGGCGTAGGGGTTGAGCAACAGCGAGCAGCCCGGAGGTCCCGCCACCGCCTCGGTGTCGAGCTGTGGAGTCCTGCAGTCGCTGGCGCCGCAGGGACCGCGATCCGCGCCCCGGGAGCAGGAGGAGGACGAAGAAGAGATAGGGGAAGGCGGGGAGGAGGGTTCCCGAGTTGGGAAGGTCTCAGAGTCACCGGCGTCCGCCCCGAAACGCTTAGGCAGGCACCAGCCGATGTCAGTCAAGGCCATCCACTGACCGGCGCTGCTCCAATGTGACTTTTGGCTCCTGGGGTGGGATTGAGGAACAAGACAGGAAGACAGATAAGTGGGCTTACCAAAAAGCGAAGACAGTCTACCAACACGCTTCAATGTCTCTCTCCCAGCTTAGGGCATCCCTTAAAGATCCCGTGTCCCCCCAATGTTTAAGGGGGGAAGGAAACGGGAAATGAAATCTGTGGAGCAACCACAGGGTTCTCGACGACCAGGGTGCCCTCCTTTCTCACCCAGGACTAACGTCCCTGCGCCCTCCCTGACCACCCATCGACAGCATCCTCTCCACTTCAAGGTGCGCCAGATCCCGGGAGTGACCACAAAGCTGGCCGAGGTTTTCCTTCTGTCCCAGCTTAACTAACTGTGACCGAATGACACACAAAAAAACTTTATGTATGTCAGTGCTGTCTCATCCTGCCTCCCCGGTAGGTGCCCCTCTCCTGGGACGCCTCTGCGAGAGTAGCTAGCAAAGGCAACCTGTCCCTGAAAACGAAACCGCCGCTTTTTCTCGGAGCTTCCCGGACCTCGCTGACCAGATCCAACGCAAGCTCCAGGAAAAGCCGCCAGCCCAGAGAACGTGGGACTCCAGGGTAGACGCATGGGGCTTGGGAAGCAGTGCCGGAAGCCCACTACTTCATGCCCAACCGAGTCCAGGCCGACCGACCGCACACCTTACACACAGATCGCGTCAAAGCCACCAGCCTGCGCGCTCACGCCGGTCGGGACACCCCCGGGCCACCCCATGGTCAACCCCAGCAGGGGGAAAGGCCAGATCGTTCTGGAACTGGACATAGTAGGGTGGAGCAGAGCGCAGAGGAAAGGAGGGGGGAAACGCAGGAGGGGAGGGGGTGAGACCGCCCCAGAGCCGAGGCCACCCCAAAGGGGAGAGCAGGAAGAATGACAGGGAGACTTGGAGGGGGTGGGGAGCCAGGCAGGCCTCTACCAGGCTGCTTTTCCAAATCACTTCGGCCCATCGGAGATAACCACGCTAAAATTAATGCCCACACACAGACCCGGGCAAGATAGCAAGAAAGAAGTTTCTCTGCCCACAGGACTACGGGCTCCCGCCCCTTGGCGCAGAGATAACTCGGAGATAAGGATGCGGGCAGATAAGCAAGGGGGGGTGGCGGGGCTGGTCCGCAGTATCCCGGGAACCTGGGAGTCCCTGAAATCCTCCAGGAGAGCGAAGGAGGGGAACACCCTCGGAGCCGATCACGGCCGGAGAAAGGCCGGAGAGCTGGAGGCCCAAAGGCCTGCTAGGGAAGGAAGGAAGGAAGAAGAGGGGGCAAACAAAAGAGGAAGCAGCCGAACCTCGGGCGAGTGACGTGCGTGAAGAACGGCCGCGGCGGAGGTGCTCCCGAGCGCGGAGTGAGGCCGAGGGCGCCGGCGGGAGAGCGCGAGTCCGGGGTCTCCCAGCGGCTGCTGGAGAATAAAAAGGAGAGAGGAGGCGCCTCTTACTGCTCTGCCGGAAAACTGCAGCCTGCGCTCCTGATTGGACTCACCGAGCCCTAAACAAACAGCGCTCGCCGAAGGGTGCCAGGCTGTGGGTCGGAACTGCTCTCTCCAAGCTGCTGGGTGCGGAGGTGAAGAGAAGGAGGAGGGATCGAGGGGAGGAGAAAAAAGCGGGTGGGGAGGGGACGGCGAGGGGGAGGGGAGCGCGCAGCGCTAGCAGACAATAAGTGCTAGGCAGCCTGCGGGCGTGGGCTGAGCGGCAAGCGCTGTCCCCAGAGCGGGGGCGAGTCCACCCGGGGGCGCCTAGCTCGGGGACACTAGGGGAGGGGCAGAGGCAACAGGACGCCTGACCTGGCCGGCGACCCTTATTCATCCAGCAGTGGAACACACCCCCGGATCCCCAGTTGCGCGCGCGCGCGCGCACACACACACACGCGCACACACACACACACACACACACACACACACACACACACACACACACACACACACACACACAGTCACACCCTGGGCAGAAGGGAGACTTGGCACCGGAGAAGCTGGGTCTTTGTAGCCCCGCACTGACCGCGGCCGCAAACGAACGGTCGCGCCGCCTCTCCTCCCAGGTCGGCGCGCCCCTAATGTCAGCGGGGAAAGTGCCCAAGTGGCTCTCCCATCTCCCCCTTTCAAGTTAAACCCCTCCTCCCGGTGCGCAGTTGCTTGTGACCAACCTTAAACTTCCCTGACCCTATTTCGGGATGCTCAGGCTGTGCGGGCCATTTGGGATCCAGGGTGTCACCTGGGAAAGGCGCCCTCCTGCCCACTCCTGCCTTGCCCCTGCTCTTAAAACATATACGAAATTCCTGGGCGGTTTCGTAGAGTTCGGGAAGGCGTTCCCCAGCTAACCTTTGGGTCTCGGCGTACGGAAAGGTTAAATCTATGAGGTGCTGGGGACCGTCACGGAATTTAAACTCTGTCCGGTGGTCTCGTTCGCTCTGAGTTTTCCCCGGACTTCAGGTAACGCATAGATAACGTTGGAAAAGAAGAGAGAGTACCCTCTCGGATCCCAGAGAGAAACACCGTTTCTCCATCCCCCAAGTCTCGCTCTCTCTCTCTCCCACACACACACACCCCTTAGTCGCTGCTCCCTCCAAATGGTTATCACAACTGTGTACAAACTGATATGGCCCTTAGCGGGCCAAGGACTGGAAAGGAACATTGGCGGGGTTATCAGTGCCGATCTGTCAGCAGCGAGTCGTACGCTGCTCGTCCCAGGCAGCAGCAGTGATATACGTCCTGTTCCTCCGTGCTCACAAAAAGGATTTCTTCCGACGAGCTGGACACTGGAAGGCTGCGGAAAGGGAACTGAACAGGAGGAACTCTCTTATTGGGATGGATTTTTACACGCACGTCCCAGGTAAATCAATGTTTTCTATAGATCTTCCTGAAAGCATTGGGGCTGCTTTTGTTTTTGTTACTTTAGTTTCGTTTGATATTTATTTTTGCTATTTTTCCAGTTGAAGAAAGGAGAGGGGTCCAAGCAGAGCCGAACAGGAATACATGAGTGCGCTGTAAAATGTGATTTCGAGAAGGTGTGAGACCTCGTTGCGAAGGGGTTCTTTCCTTGAACTGTACCTGTGCGCTGGCGGAGAAGGGACAGAACTTGCTGGGGAGGGGGTGGGGGAAGGGGAGTCGGAATCCAGGAAGTTAGCGAGAATTCTCCGTTTTCATTCGTTGTAAATTGCGGTCAAACACTTCTGAATTTTAACCCTGCTACCGACCACTCTTGTCTAACTGCGTCGTCACTTTTTACCAGGTTCCTTTTTGCGCCCCCCCTCAGTCACTGTGGCTTCATTGTGGCTGCCTTCTGAATGGCTGAAGATAGAAAACTCTGGAATGAAAAGGCGAGCTGCTGGGGCTTTAAATTTTAACCCGTTTTCGATCGAAAGTCACTACCACAAGAGACTGGCACGGGCCGGCCCAATTCCCAGCACAGGTTCCAGCGGCTTGCTTTGGGTTGTTCGGTAAGTTCCGACCAGATTTTTAAGCGAACTGGGTTCTGCGAAGATCATTTGTAAGCAATTCATTAAAACTCTGGACATCGTTCTCCCTTTGAATCCAATTGTTCGGAAACAATGTCTCACGTTTGCTCTAGCAAGCAATTTTTACAATGGCTAACTAAATTCGGTGCCCTGGCTGTGAACGGCCTTCAAGGCTGAGGAAGATCGAGCCCCGGCGCGAGCCTGGTTCTTGTCCCGGGTTTTCTTTTCTTTTTTATTTTTATTTGAACGTTCAGGGTTATCCTGCATAAATTTCCTGGGACAATAGCAAACCCCCCACCGGTCTGCTTTCCGGACGCAGTTAGGCAGCCTAGCCTAGGAGCACACTGGCCCCGGCGCCGCTGGGACAGATGTGAGGAGCCGACCCATATTGACAGATTCGACAACGTTCGGGCTCTAGGGGCTCGGGAACCGACTCACAATTTTATCATCCATATTGCCAATCATTTTAGTAGTGTCCCCAAACAAAGAAGGAAGCTAGATCGCTGTTTTTCCTTTCAGGGCCACAAAATTCACTATTAAAAAAGACTGGCTTTCCGAACGAGAAATAGGTTAGGGAAATAATTTCTTATGTCAGTTAATGTAAAAATAAAACTGTTTAACATGTCCGATTAACTCAGACAAAAACTTGAGCTGCCTGGAGACACTGGTTTGCTCGTTTTCGGACTCACGGACTCTGTCAACAACACTCCCGCGGCAAAGGCACATTTCAAAGCTGGTCCCACTGGCCTCAGGCTGGACGCTCCCGGGGAATGGAAAACCAGCAGAGTCCGGGGTGTCGAGGGAAAAGAAGCACCCAAAACTAAGGGGGGCCCAGGAATTGGAGATGGTCCCCGTCATGCCCCAGGTAGCTCCTAGAAGTTTCTTTGTAGTGTTTTTCTCTTTTGTTTCTCTTTCTTTTTAATTCCCTTCCCCTTGCCCCTCCTGTCTTTCCTCGCCGGATTTGCTCATCTTGAACGAAACCGTTTCGCGGGAAACTACTTGGGCTGTGGGAGCAGGCCCTCCGGACCAAACTTTACTCCTACCCCACCAGAGGACCGGCTCTGGGGCGCCGCCTGTCCCCCTAGGCTCATTTATTTGGGCCGGGCCACACCACTGTTCGCCTTTCAAAGGCAGCCAGAACACAGCAGCCAATTGGGCAGGGGGCGGGGGCTCTGTAGCTGAAACGGAAGGGGTGTTTGGGGACTCAGTGGCGCGCAGCTTCCTGGGGCACAGCAGACCTGGGCCTGGATGTCTCGCTATACACCTTTGGCCTTGCAAACTCAAGCTCGTAGTTTCACGAAGTTTCTGTTTGCTCCAACATTGAGTCAGAGGGGGCTGGGGCGGGGGTTGCAAGTAATTTCTGTCTTAAACACGGTTTGAACTTTACATTTAAAAATATTAGGTTAAGGCTATAACTCACTGGTAAGTCACTTTTTTGAGCAAGGATGTGGGTTCAGTTCCCATGCATTCCAAAAAGAGAAGGAAATACACCCGTACAAAGCCTTGTTGGTTTCTTACTGTCCTGGGGACTTTCACCAACGACACAGGTCACCTTGGCCTCTCCCCATTCTCCCCGGTGTCCCACCCAGTCCAGGGCTTGGGCCGTGTCCCCATTTTGGAACTCCAGCCATCAACCAGGGTGCTCCTGACTTATGTCTGTCTTTCCCTTGCTCCGTCTCTCCCTTCCTGACGCTTCCTCCCTTTTATTCTTAATTTCCTATAAACAAACAAAACCGTGGCAGACTTGATCAGGTGGCGGTGGAGGAGCGAACGTCGCCCCAATTCCGAGTGTCGGTCGCCTTCTCACTTGGCCTCAGGCCTCAGGCTAATGCAGTCCCCAGCGGTGGGAATCAAACTACTCGAGGGACTCTGCCCCGCGAGCACGCAGCCCGGGTGACCCCGGCCGGCCGCCGCCAACTCAGCGCCGAGGTGGGCTCGCTCGGGCCCAAAAGGTCACCACAGTGGCCTCCCTCTCTGTGCGCTGTTTACGTGACTTAATGTACTTCTTACGCGGCAGTAAGTCGGGGTGGCGATAAGGGGGGAGCCAGAAAGGGTCGCCGTAAAAGCCCCACGCTGGGTGCCTGCGGCCCCCCCCCCTCAGCCATTAACCTTTTTTACTTTCTTCTTCCCTCTCCCTCTCTCTCTTAAAGCTTGTTATCTGGGCCACCCAATGACCGACGAAAGATCTTCCCTCCCCACGTCTCCCATCGCCGCTTTAAACCAAATAAATTTAGCTATTAAGGGACAAGACGTCTGACAAAAGATCGAAAGGTGTCTCTCTGGGATCGCTTAAAGAAGCGAAGAGGCTGGCGGCTCTCGAATCCCGATAAAGAAATTCCACACCGGCGCCGGCCTCCCTCTCCAGCCTGCTTGCATCCGACACCCTGAGATCAGAACCTCCAAGGTCCATTGGGACCTGTGGCTACAATTGAGGCAATATCTAGGGTCCCGGGCCTGGGGATGCTAGGCCTTGGGAGGGGGCACTGAGGTCCAGGAGCAGTAGGACCTAAAATATTCCTGCCAAGCTCCAGAAGAACCAAGGCCAAGGGAACCCAAAGTAGCATTTAATTTGTCTCTTGCCCCTCTTTCCTTGAGACAAAGCCCCAAGCTCATGACCCTCTCAACTCAAGCCTGGGTTCCCTCTATATGTGAACCCGGCTTTTTATTATCTAGATCAATTAAGAACTCGATTTATACTGTCGAGTACCGGGATTACAAGTGTAGCCTTGTCCTGCCGTTTTTATTATTTTCTAATACTAAGCAATAAAGACAAAGTCAGTCATGCCTATCTGCCTTCCCCATGTTCATTTTAGGAACAGAGAAGCACCCCTCATTTCCTGGGGTGATGAGCAGAGCTTCTGACCCCTGGTAGAAATGGTGGTGCATCTGCACCCTTGGGCTTGAACCCAAAAGGGTGTAGACTCTCCAAGGTTGGTTTGGTCAAATGCAGTATTTAGAGTCATGATTCATTGCAGCCGCCATGGCTGCTTGAAGCCCAGGGCTGTGTGCTAGCCAGAGTCACCACCTCCCTCTTAGAGGGTGAGACCCACAGCGCTGCTTCTCAGACTTCACTGCTCTGGAGCTGAGGGGGACAGCCAGGGTGGTCAGACTATGTTTTCTAGTGCTTTGAAATAGGGAGGGCTGGTGGGGGGGTCAGTGGGCAGGACTTGTCTGCTCCCCAATCTCTCTGGCTCATTCAGTCTGTGTCACCTTATGCTGGGGTGTAAGCTTCCAGGCACCCCTTTTCCTATCCCTTCCAAACAGTTTCCTTCCCAAACACTCTCTTTATGTAGCCTCTGAAAAGAGAGAAAGGGAAGCCTGGGAAAGAAAAGGGAAGCTCTGCTCCCAAGAAAGAGACATAAATTTCCAGCCCCATAGGGTGAGCTAGACCTGAGGTCTCCTTGGATGTGTCTGGCATCCCAGGAGCACAGACCCCATGAGTTATGGGACCTAGACCTGTGTCTGCTTCCAGTCCTTCCTCCCTGTTGAGTAGCGTTTGCCCTTTTATTTTCTTTCTTTTAAGGCCAGGCAGGGATTGATAAAGAGAATTAGGAAAAAAAAAGAAAGTGAAAAGAAAGAAATGAGTTTTTGAGAGATTTGCTAAATTATAAATGCCATCCTTGAGTCAATGATGGGGGAGTGACCAAGAAAAGTTACTACTCAGAAATATGACCTCTCCATTCAGCTATGTTGCAAATATGCAGAGAATTAGGACCAAAGGGTTTGTCTGCCACTGCATAGCCTTCCAGCTTCCTGCCCCTGAGTATGCCTTGCAGGGAGAAGAAGCAGAAGAGGCAGCTCCAATCTCGGAAGTGTTTACAGTCTAGGAGGCTGGCACCGGTTAGGCAAAGTCCCACAGCAACTCTGAAAGGGCACTCAGATTTCAGCCATCCTCCAGTCTGCAAAGTGGGTTTGGAAAATTGCAAGTTCCTCTAGCTCATATGCTTAGGGAATTTCTAAGAGCCCCTGGGCCATCCCAGGACTTGAGGCTAACAAGCGGGAGCCGCCATCTGTTTCCTGTGTGAGGCTAGCAAGTCACCCAACTTCTCCGATCCAGTCAACTCTGGAGTAAAATAAAGCTAAAACTCCAAGCAGAGTGTTCTGACTATGCCTGGATCCACTGTGCTCGGAGGCTGAGGCAGGAGGATTATATGATTCTCACACCAGCCAAGACTGCACAGTAAGACCCTGACTCCAGAAACCAACCGGGGGTGGGAGGCTCAAAGGGTGAAGCTGTTTGCTGACCGGATAAACCAATGACCCGAGTTTCATTAAGACACACTAAGGAAAGATACTCACCTCCCATAACTCCCCCATAATGTTTCCTCTGACCTCCACTTACGTGTCATGCTATATGTGATATGTGCATGTGTGAGCACATACATAATGTAATTAACAACTTAAGGAAAGAAAAGACAAAGGAGGGAGGGCAAAGAGAAGGAGGAACTCCCTTCTGGACCATTGCAAAGACTAAAATCTTTGGCAGTAATGCTGGCACATGCTAAGTTGTATGACTTATTACTAACATCCTTACATACACAATCTCAACTTCATGTGTGACCCAACTGCCCCTGTACTAAAAACTCCCAGGAAAGGGGAGCTGCTTGGAGAGCTTTGTCCCAGCACCAGGACTTCTGTTTATTGCATTATGGTAGGGAAGAGGGTGAGGGGTGAGACAAACATGGGTCCTTTGCTGGCTTTTGGTGCCTTTGAAGAGGAGACATTCCTCGTTCTACCCCCCTTCAAATGCCAGCAGCAGACTCCAGCATCTTCTGCAGGGCCAAGATAGCAATCTTGAGGCTCTCAAAAAAGAATCCCAGTGCCTCACAGCAGCCTCCCTGCCGGCTCCTCTCTGGAGATAGACAGGAGAGGGAATGAGACCCAGCCATTAAGAAAGGCAAAGGAGCTTTTGAGGGCCAGAGGAACTCTCAAACTTTCTTGTTACTGTTTTGTGGGTTTCCTTCCCCCATCTCACCTCCCCCAGACCCTTATTTTTCTTTATTTCGTGCTGGAGATGGAGCCCAGGACCTCATGCATGCTAGGTATGTGGTAAGGCTGAGCTACACCACCCACAGGAGCACATTATCCATCACAGGGCACTCTAGACATTTTCAACCTTGTTTTCTTCCTGGTACTTCTCTTCCCCCTTCCACTGTGTACTCTCAAACAAGATCCGACCCTCAACAAAGCACACTGCTCTCTAGTAAGAACAGTGAAAGAGATGCATCCTCCACACGCCAGATCCAGAGTGGGTGTGAAAGCCTCTCTCTTCCATTTGACTGTTTGCTCTGGTCTTCCACGGTCCTGATCTTCTGTTTGATTTACTGAGTGCTGTCATTTCTCCCCTCTTTACTTTCACAATCACACATTCAAACCTGATAAAGTTCAAGACCCTGAGTGCTCGCAGCTTCCCAAGATTGACAGTCCTCCTGCCCTCCACCCCAGCCAGCCTGCCGAGGCTGATTGAATCCTCATGGGCAGAAGCCTCCAGGGAAGGATAAGAAGAGGTAGCTAGTCCAAGAGGTGCAGGGAATGCTAGCATTTCCCTGCCATCTCTGCTACCCCAGCAAACCTCAGTCTCTTCTTTCGCAGAGACAGATTGGCAAAGACCTGTAGGTAAGGGGGTGAAAGACCTGAGCTTGTCACATGCAGAACTGGCTAAGACTGGACGCAGAGCTCCTAGACAGCTGGAGGCAGAGCTGGCTTTCCTAAATCTACTAAACAGCAACGGAATCAAGGTCAAGACACTTAACCTCAAGGTGCCTCAGTTGCTCCATCCATAAAATGGTAAAAATATTGCTTTGCACCAACATTCATCACAGACTAATGACCAGGGTCTTACTTACCACATGCCTTCTTTTAGGCTCCATGGAGACGGCATGCGTATATCTAGCCTGGCTCTTTGGTTCTTGTCAGGTTCAATACAAATTTAGACGTTAATCTAAATACTATGCTAGTGGGCTAAACAAAAGGAATGATTCATTTCCAAAGGCTGAACAGTTAACTTAGACTCAAGTTCCCAGATCACTGAAATGTCTTCCAATGGAAGATGCTTTCTAAATACTTTATTTTCTTCCCATAAGTATAAGTGAGCAAAACCAAAGAACACAGGCTAAATGTGATCACCAAGCATGGAGACCCTCTACTCTTAGTGTGGACGCTGGACAGTGGCTCAGCTACTAAGCACTTATTTATTTATTGCTCAAATTACTGTCTTCAGTAATTTGGCCAAGAGAATGAAAGAAGCCAAAAGGGGAAATGCCAGGAAGAGATCCCCAAGAGATGCCACTGTCCTTGCTGAGAGCGTCTACTTTCAAGTCTGAGTCCAGGTAAAAAGAATTTTTTTTTTTTTAGTAAGAAATAATAAAACCTTGGGGAAAAAAAAAGCAAAAAAAAACAGGTGATGGCGGCCCACACTTTTTTTTTTTTTTTTTTTTTTTGGTTTTTCGAGACAGGGTTTCTCTGTAGCTTTGGAGGCTGTCCTGGAACTAACTCACTTTGTAGACCAGGCTGGCCTCGAACTCACAGAAATCCGCCTGCCACTGCATCCCGAGTGCTGGGATTAAAGGCGTACGCCACCAACGCCCGGCCGGCCCACACTTTTAACCCCAGTACTGGGAAGGCAGAGAGAGGCAGGAAGGTCTCTGAGTTTGAGGTCTGATGGACTGGTTAACACAGTTAGCTCTAGGACAGCCAGGGCTATAGACTATACATACACCCCGTCTCAAACGAAACAGCAATGGAAATCAGGGCTGGAAAGGTGGCTCAGCAGACAAGAGCACTGGCTGTTCTTGCAGAGAGGACCCAGTGTCAGTTCCCAGCACCAACATGATGGCTCACAACCATCTGGAACTCCAAGGGATCCGATACCCACTTCTGGCCTCTGTGGCTTCTTTATGCATATGGTGTGTAGTGCATACATATACACTGCACATAAAATAAGAATAAACAAATCTCACAAAGGAGAGAAAGAAAATCAAAACAAAGCCAGAAGGCACTTTTCACCTCTCTAGTCAGGAGACATATTCATGTTTTCTGACAATAGCTGTCCATAGTGCTGGCCTCTAGAGGTACTAGAGATAGTCTGATATCAAATGACTTCTCCTGGCACATCCTCAGTCAGACTATTACTCTGTTTATGGTACCACAAATTAAAAGGCTGTAATTACCAACAAAAACAGTATAAGTGTTATACCATTTATGAACACTACCCCATAGCAGTACCTAGATAAAGTCTAGCCAAAACCACAATGTAGATCCACAAAAGTTGTTTGCCTTCGAGCTTTCCTTCCTTCCTTCCTTCCTTCCTTCCTTCCTTCTTTTCTCTCTTTCTTTCTCTTTCTTTCTGTTTTGTTTTTTGAAGCAGGATTTCTCTGGCTGCCCTTGAACTTATTCTGTAGCCCAGGCTGACCTCAAACTCAAAGATCCACCTTCCTCTGCCTCCTGAGTGCTGTGATTAAAGGCATTCGCTACTACCACCAGGCTCTGCCTTCAAATTTCAAAGGCACCTCTCTGCACAATGCAGCTGTGGAAACCGCTGGGTAATAGAAAGGAGCCTGTGTGAACCAGCACCTGAAGGCGATAAAGCTCTAGCAACCAACATGAAGCCTGAAAGCCTAGAGTCACAAGTTCAAATCCCAGAGATGGAGTTTGCTGTCTTTCTCTGGCTGGGAGCCCTTATGCAAATCCTTTACTATTACGGTTTCCCATTGTCTTCAGATGTACAAACTCGATAAGAAGAAGAGTGTCTTCTATACACCATAGGCTGCTTGAACTGTTTGGCAATTA